AATGTCACAAAGAATAAAAACCCTGCTTTTGTTTCTCCTCCTCAGAGAATCCTTCAAGTTTTATTTCTGAATAGACACTCATTGGGAGTCCATATGAGCCCAGCTCTCAGCAGCTCCCAGCAGCAGGGTGGGTTGGAACCACGTGACTGAGGCTCCGCTCGCTGCCAGTTCACATGACCACAGGCAGACTGACAGCCGCAGACATGGTTTAACCAAACTGCTCGACCAAAAACTAAAACAATCATTATTTTTAGTCTGCAGGACCTGGTCGCCAGGCATGTAAACATCAGCTCTCCATCTTCGGACTGAACATCATCACCAATCGGCTTTGCTTCTCTTTAATCTATCGGACAAGTGCAGGAGCTGACCCACCTGCGTGGAAAACAACCCACGAAGCAGGAAACGTGTGCATGAACTGGATCAAAGAGATGCCAGTCATCCGGTGCCTTGTCCTGCTGTTGATCGCCTGCTTTGGGTTTTTAGGTGAGTAAAAAATCTGCACTAAATGCTAATGTAGGCTAAATGACGTCATGACTGTGGATCAGTTGTTGACGCTGATAAAGCAGCCTGGGCTTAATGATGAAAGCACTAATAATAAAAATATATTCATTTATAAAGAAATACAGATAGATTTAGCATTTCTGACAAATACAGGGAGTAAAACCTATGGCTTTAGATCACCTCTAATCATTGCAAACCGATACAACTCAGTTTGAGTTGTTATAAAAATAAGTATTAATTATTTAATCTGAATGTAATTTATGTCTAAAATTATAATCTGTTGTAGAATGACAGGTGAAATGGTCATTTATAGACCTCCCATGAAGGAATGATGACCAAAAACACAGTGGCTCTTTTTTGATCGTTTTACTATAGTGTTTAGAAAAAATGTGACTTTTTTCCAAGGTCAAAAACAATATCTTTACTAACCCACTTTTTATACATTTTAGTCAGGTTTACCCTTATTAAATACACATGTATAAAAAAACAAAGAATACTTGGTACATTAGGAAGTTGATCAAATTAAATATTAATTTAAGATTAATCACATGTTAATAATTAAAGGTCATATAAAAAAATATTAAAACCAAATCAGTAAATATTAGCTACTAAAGATAAAGGTTAGATCCTGAAAGAAGCCAGGAGCTTTTATTGCTCTTTTGAACATTCTGGAAAAGTCTCCATTCTTTATTTCTGTTTGGTTTTGTTTCTCTTTTATCCTGATATAAAGTCTTTGTTTTGCCAATGTTGTGGACCAACAGATTATCCTCATTGTTGTCATTGGAGAGCTTCACATGACTCCCATGGTCCACGGCTTTGTGCTGCACGCCCCGCTGTGGAGGGGGCCACAGACAGTGCTGGTTAAGAACTGCTGCAAACTCCCTGCAAATACAGAAAGGCACAAAATGCTTCTCAAGCCAGAAAATAAGAACTAAATGATAGTAGTTTGAATGGTTGTTGAAGATTTTCACTTAAAAAAACACATTTAATTTAAAACAGACTGTTGTTTGGATCAATGCATTTCTGCATCCCCATTTTACTCTATGCTAAAGCTGCAGATCTGGATAACTTCTTTTTGTCTGACATTTAAGCAGTTTGCCATCAGCAGCTTTACACAATAGCTTATCTCATGACTGGATTGTGGCGTTGTGTAAGCTGTTTGTTGCATGTTTACAGTGAGAACAGAGAGGTGAGCTGAAAGACATTTAAAAAAAAAAAGGCAGCAATTTGCAGCCCGCAGAGGTAAAGATGTGTGAAGCTGACTCCTCCCAGAGAATGAAATAATTTCAACTGGTGGTTATAAGAAGGTGTGAGACATATATATACAGCAGAATCATATGTAAACAGTACTCAGGGTAAAAATAAGGCAAGGAATATTTACTGCTTATTAATATTTAGACTGCTTAAAGGCTTTTAAAGAATATATGAATGCATAACTTTAACAAATAAAAGTAACTTGGTCATTGTGTTTAAAACCACAAATACACCCACCGACAGCCAAGGAACAATCATTAGGTAGATTTCACTAAATGTGAAAGTTACTAAACAAGTTCTTCCATTGTGAATACATTTGTGGTCAAATCTTTAAGCAGCAGGAAAACGTTTTCTTATAAAAGAAGCTAAAATGTTAGAGTTTAGACGCTTATCCACTTGGTCTTAAACTTTTATATCTGGCGACCTCTAATGGCAGGATATGCGAACTGCAGGAGCATATCTCCACCCCTGCAACATTTTTTTTTTTTTTGCACGCATAACAATTTAAGAGCAATGATATAAACATTACCTGAAAAAGGTCGCATTTTAACTGCAACAAAAAATGTATGACTGTGTATTACATACTGGGAATATAGGTAAAACTATTGACCTCTAATGTTAAAAAAAATCAACAAACATCTATATTATTTATATTCATATATATCTCTATTATTTATATACATATAAATCTATATTATTAGTATATAATAATATAGATGTAATATATAAGTATATATTTAAGTCTGTAGCTGCTTATGTATTCATCAAACTCCAAGCAAATGATCAGGGCTACTTGGAAACAGCATCTGAACACCCTGAAGGTAAAGTTGCGTTTATTTAATGTGACAGGTGTAGTAGAGAAAAAGTCAAATATAAATTTCTGTGTATTTTTATAAGAATTTTATGCCCTTAAAAAACAATCTCCATATTTTACGGCTGTTTTCTGTTCTTTGCTCTGCAGATCGCATTCAGGCGGTAACTCTAGAGGTGAAGGTTGGGAACTCCACCTGCATCAAAGCTGAGCTGTCTGCCTTGCTCTCCATCACATACACCACCTCCAACAGCACAGTAAATGTTTAATATTAGATTTTTTTTCCCAACCTCAAATATATATGTTACATGATGTCCTTTAGGGTATCAGCCTTTGAACTATTTTGTCCCCCCCTCTCCCTCTAGAGTAATGTGTCCATCTCTCTGCCCGACTCCACCTCAGTCGATGCAGGAAGCAGCTCGTGCGGAACAGACGGCCGCCCGCCGTGGCTGGTGGCGGTGTTTGGATCGGGCCACGCGCTCGGACTGAGCTTCTCAACAAACGGGAGTTTTTATAACGTCACTGACCTGACGCTGCAATACAACCTGAGTGACACTTTACTCTTTCCTGAGGCCAACGGTTCTGGTGAGAGGGACTTCATCAAACTATCAGTTTTAGGGTTTAGCTTCAGAGAGGCTCTAATGTAGTGATTACACCATACTTTAATGGTGACTCCTCTGCATCACAGGTGTAGTAACTGTGATGAGCACTTCAGTCGGGATCTGGGCTCCCATCAACACCACCTACCGCTGTGCGAGTCCCACCACCATCAGAGCTGGAGGAGCTGCTGTCACCTTCTCTGAGATGAGACTGGAGGCATACATGCCAGGAAATGACCTCAGCCCAGCAGGTCTAAGCTCTTCTTACTGGGTGACTTCTAACCAGCTTTAGTTTTTAATTCATTGAAGCCGATTGTTTATTTATCATCACAGAAAGTGTGTGTGCAGCTGATCAGACCACTACTGCGGCTCCCCCTACTTCTGCCAGCACCACTGTTAGGACTACGACAGCAGCTCCAGGTCCGACTCCTCCGGGAACGCCTCAAACCGGAACGTTCTCTGTGAGAAACGGCAGTGGTGACGTTTGTCTCCTTGCTAAAATGGGTCTGCAGCTCAATGTCTCCTACGTCTCCCAGTCTCAAAATAAGGTTAATGTGGAGCTCCAGCTGATTAACGCACAGCCTTACAATCCACAGCATCATAAAACAAAAAAATCCTTTTCTCCTTCCAGACTGTTCAAGAATTATTCAACATGAACCCCAACCTGACGGCTCCATCGGGGTCATGTGGAAGCAGCACTGCTACCTTAGTGATAACACAACAAGCCACCACTCTCAGTTTCACCTTCTCTATGGTAACCATCTTTGTTTATCCGGTTTTTACGGAAGCATATTGCATTATTGTATTATGCTTATTAGTTATGTAGATGTGATCACCATTAGTTTGTGGACTTTGCCTAGATGCCTGCGAGTTGGGTGATAATCATGGACGGTTGTTTCCTCTTCTCTTCACAGTTTATCTAGTCGGTTTTGAAAAACAGAGCATTTTTTTTCTTTATTTTTATTTAAAAAAAATCTTAATTCAGAAAAAATGTTCTACTTATTTGTTTTAAACCATTATTAATTAAGAAAAATAGAACATTTCTATTAATTTTTTGTAAAAAAAAAAAATCATCTGGTTCCTTCAGAAAAACATTTTTTTTCCCCAGGTGGATGCAGTAGATTCTCCATCAATTAATGCAAATATTTTAAGCATTAAGTCATTTTTTCCTTCATATCTACAGAACCTGACAACTAGCCAGTACCACTTAAGCGGGATAAACCTGTTGGCCAACTGGTCGGATATGAGCGGTAGGTCTCTGCTGTTTATCTTCATTCAGATTGGCAGTTTAAAAATGAAAACCTGCTCTGATGATTCTCCTCTCCAGCTCCCTTCTCAGCCAGTAACTCCAGTCTGGACTACCTTCCGAGTAAACTGGGCCACTCCTACATGTGCAACACAGAGCAAACTCTGCTGGTGGTTCCAGATTTCTCCATCAACACATTCAGACTGCAGGTGCAGCCCTTTGGAGTCACAGCCGGACAGTTTTCTGCAGGTTCTCATTCGGGTTTTTTCAAATCTCTGTTGTCCTCCCTAGTGCTGCGTCATTTCTCTAACTGAATCTCTTCTGATTTTGTCTTTGTTGTGATCGTATGTGCAGCTGAGGAATGTCAACTGGACCAGGATCAGATGTTGATCCCCATCATCGTTGGAGCAGCTCTGGCTGGTCTGGTGCTCATCGTCCTCATTGCGTACCTGATAGGCAGGAAGAGGAGCCATGCTGGGTACCAGACCATCTGAGGAGGGCTTTATTTAACCTTCTAGATGGAGTGCTGGAAGGAAACAGTGTGTGGATGCGTAAAGGACAGTGGAGTGTTTAAAAAAAAAAAAAAGTTTTTGCATGTTCCTTTCCTTTTTTGTGTGGGTGATAAAACGTGAACTACCTGCGGACATAGATGCTTATGATGGAGAAAGTCTGCTCACCTCTTGGCTTATTTCGTCACAGGGTGAAATATAAAGAGGCAGCCACAGTCAAACGGACAGTAAGAGCTTAAACTACCTAAAGTTAACCAGAGATTTACTCTTTCCAAGGTTGGTCTGTTTTCTTTTCTTCATGCTCTTTGATGAAAAGAGAAATCTTTGGTCTCGTTTCATGAAAGGTGGACATTATTGGATGTTTTGACCTGGTGTTATAGCACCCCTTCTTCCTGGCTATAAATTACATATTTAGGGGTGCAGGATTTTTTAAAAGCACAGTGAAGTTAGAAAAAGAGCCAGAAGTTAAAACAGGAAGAATTTCTCTATCTTCTTCACATAAACCACCATTCTCTGCTTCTTTTTTTTTCTGGGTTCTCAATCTTGCAAATAAAGGATGTGATTTTACACAAATCTATCCATGTTCAGCAGAACGCTCTGGTACATAGAAGCTCTTTGTTTGCTGGAAGGATGTCCTTCTCTTTACAGCTTAGATTGACAATCAGCTCTGTTTAACAAGCTTTAAACATTTGATCATTAAAAAAAAATACGTTCTAGTTTCTGCAAACCTTGTAAAGTGCAGCAGGAGTAGATTTCTGCTTTTTTTCATTTCACCCCTTTTGGAAAAGAAAATTAAAACATTTGGGTTGCTGTTATTTTTTTTAAGATCCATTTTCTATTCCACATTTTGTTGAAATGTACCGTAATAAACATTTAGTCGATCGTCTTTTTTTTTTAATAGTGATTCTATGTTTACAGAAGCACCACTGGGACAGGCCAGCTCTTTTGTTTGTATCTGGTCGCCATGGGAAACTAGATTATATGAATGCAGTTTTATAAAATAAAAATCAGCCCACAGAGAGGTGATGAAATGTTTCATTTTTACTACTGAAAATATTCTAGTTTAACATAATGTTGAATCAGTGTTACATCCCAGCAGTCATCTCATTTAACCAAAGAACAAGTAGTGTTATTTTACATTTTTTTGAGAAAGGTGTGAAATACAGCTGACATTTCCTGCTCTAGGTCAAACATTTCTTTAGCTTCAGCCATCCTGGAATAAAGTGCATATTTCCACATTTACATCAAAACAGGAAACAAATTAAGACAAACTTCATGGTGTTAAATTGAATCATTCAGTCATAAAGCAACAGCTTTATGTTTGTCTTTAGCTTATGCTCAAAGACAAAAGGTCCAGTGTTTAGTGACTCGGTTAAAAACAAAAAGCAGGTGGAGCCAAGCTGGGAGCTCGTCCTGCTATCTGGAATGCATAGGAAGATGTTCCCAGAAGTCCAGGTCAGGATTCCTCAGCAGCAAGTCGTTCACGACAGGCCACACGCAGCTTAGTCAAGGTCGCCATGGAGAGACTTCCTGGTTCAGTGAAGATTTTCTTGGAAAGAAACGGCAAGATTAAGAGATTAAAGCAGCAGAAATAAAAATAGTGTCTTCTCTCTAGAGAAATTACTGAAGGAGCCTTTTACCTGCATGAAAGGGTGACAATCTCCAACAAATGGTCCCTGGGTGATCTGTTTGAAGGCCTGACAGACGTCTGGCAGGGAGCGGGCCTGTTCGATCACAGCCTGGTGGTGATGGATCAGCGTAAGGGCAACGCGGAACAGGATTTTTGAGCCTTCATAGAAAAGGCAATCCCAGATCCTGAGAACGGTCTGCAGGCCAAACAGATTTAAATGCTAAATCCATAAAAGTCTAACAGTGCATTTAAACTACAACAACAAATACCCTCAAACAAAACTGTCGGAGAGCTAATATTGGAGAAAAAAAAAGCTGTTTTTTCACATGAAAAGCTGAAACCTTCAGTCACATGAGAGCAGCTGAGTGTGGAATGGAAATGTGGAAAGTCGCAGCCTTGCTGCTTCTCTAGTGTTTGTGTTCAAAGCTATTTCTGAGAAAACGGTGTGAAAATCTCCATGTGTTGCTGCCAGGTAGAGGTTCCTCCCATATTTGGGGAACAAACAGTGGAGCCAACACCGTTTCAACTCACATGGATGAGACCAGCATAAGGCTGGTTTTATACGGCTTCATAAAACTGAAGAATAAAAGGACGGAAAACAAATGACAAATTAAGTCTGTGTGAAAATGTGAGATTAGATGCAAAAATGTCCTTTTTTTTAATCAAAAATATATATTCAAGGTTACTCCACATTTTTCATAGAAAAGAAAAAAAAATCTGACTGCATTTTTTGTAGGAAACTTATGAGACCAAGTTTTTAATAAGTAGCTAAATCATATATGCTCACCTCCACTGGTAAAATGTCTATGTAAAGACAGATGAACCACCTTGAAACCACCAGGGTCCACATGACATTGTGCTCCTCCATCAGCTGCCAAACTCGGGGAATTTTAAGTTTCACCAGCTCCCCCAAAACTTCCTGGTCCGTCTTCAGCCCCATCATGGCTGGACTGTAGTAATCTAGAAACAAACACATTCAGGGTTCGACTCCAATGTGTGGCCTGAGCTTTTCATGTGGGTTTTAATCTATTCTGTACTCAAAATCATTGCAGATCTAAAGCTAAAAAAGGCTTTATCTCATTTGCCTTATTAAAAGAATTACAATTAAGATTGCAAATTATTTGGAGTTAGAGGGAAAAAGAAAATCTATTCTTAGTAACAGCGTTTAGGGCAGAAGTTCCCTGAAAACATGATCTCCTTTCAGCCACGTTTGAATGATTAAAATCACCGCTGTCTGCTTTAGTGTAACATTAAATGGACACATGTGGTCCTGTTAATAATTAAATGAACAACATGGTTAATAAAAAGGCAAACTCTGCTGTAATCAACATTTTCAGTGAAATAACTTATTTGCAAAGTCTCAAACTATTCATCAGCTTTGTAAAGTTAGAGAACAGGCTTCGTAAAAATCAGTCCAGGGGTCACAGAAGGCCCTCCGGCAACAATTCGAACACCTCTAACCTTGGTGAGAGCTGCAATATCTTCTACAAAATGTGGCACTTTTACAACTGCTACCTTTTTGGAAATGACAACAATCCGACAGCAATATATAATGAAATAAAAAATAAACCAATCAGGCCTTAAAGTACACAAAGTTTTAAAAGAGGATTATTCTGACCAAGAGACAAACCACAAGAACAATTTATTTACACATACCTGGCAAAATCCGTCCAATGAGAGCATCCATCAGCCAGAAAGATTTCTCTTCATCTTTAGTGATGATCAGTAGATACCCGGCAACAAAGTTCATCCCCTGCAGAGGAATGATATACAAAATCAAATAAAGCTTCAGCACATTCGTCACACAGCAGGATCTTTTTATTCAAACATCTCTTTAACCCTGACAACAAAAAAGGTCTCATCTGTAAATAACTTGACCATGAAGATGTTCATCTAAATGCAAAGTAAATATTTCCATGTCCTGGAAATGATGACAAACCTCCAGCTGTGACTGGGGAGCCTCTAACAGAGAGTTAAACAACATTTGGTTTAAAATACAATGAGAGCAAAGAGCGCCACCAGAAACGCACAAACCAAACGGTCAACAGATAAACCTCAGTTTGAAATTAATGGCTTCCGTTTATACTCTGACGATGCCACCTTGTTTTGAATTTCAAACCAGCTTCACAGTGGAAAATCAAATTTGCCTTTCAAATTCATAAAAAGGCAAAGCCTGGCTTTTAGGAAAGTCCACAGAAATGCTTCAAATCCATCCATCCCAAAACAAGTTCTGTTTTTGTTCAGAATAGTGGTCTAAAATCATGGGAACAGATCCAAATATTTTACATCAAAGCTGCTTTATTTTTAAGGCTTACTGGATTATCATGCTCATTTTTCTCCTTTACGTCCTAATATTCTCTCCAAATACTTGCTGCATTTTTATTTGAACTTTGTTTTCAGAAAATAAATCTTATAATAGCATCTATTCCCATAGATACAAATGCTATGCTAACACAAAATGCTACATTCCTTAGCTTCTCAACATGAAGCAAAATCTTCGCAAGTTGTTATTCATCGATAAGGAAGCAAAGAAAAATGCTATAGATTGTTCAAAAAGCACAAATATCTGTTTCTAACTCTGCATATTTACAGTATACACAGAAAATAAAAACACTTTCCAGTAAATCACTGAGTCCGATTTTTTGTGAAATCCGATTTTTTTGCATGCCGTCCACATTTCCAAATATATGAGACTTGCATGTGATCTCCTGTGTAAACTGCATTCATACAGCTTATGTGTCCCACATGCGCAGTAGAGGACGCAATAACGTCACAAACCTTAAAACCTCAGTCATTTCAGGATGGTTAAAAAAAATAAATAAAATACTGCTCTCCACATCATCGTCCACCATGGCGTTTGTTTTTCTTGCTGCTTCTGAGTAGCAAGACGGAGAATAGTGACCGTTGTCGGTTACTAATGGGGGTCAGGTCGGATGAATCCGAGGTTCGGATGAATCCGACCTGACCGGATCAGAGTCAAGTCGCATTTGAAAAGATCAGATTCGTATCGGATTCAGGACCTGATAGCCAAGCGGCCTGGGTCGGATTGGAAAAAAATCGAATCTGAGTTCACAGAATGCCATGAAAAGATCAGATCCAGGTCACATGTGGGCAAAAGAATTTAATAAAATAAAAATCGGATTCGGGTCACTTCAGGCTGCGGTTTGAACGTAGCCTTTGTTGCACGAAGTCGACAAATTTCTGACACCAGTGAACTTAGATTGCAGCCAAAAACAGATACGTTCCTCCATCCTCCTGGTTTATTTCAGAGACACGCAGGTTAATGTCGCTCCACAACTTTACTTCTGCTTGGAAGTAACAAGTATAAGAAATTTTACTCTGGATAAATAAGATAATTTAGGCCACTGAGGTCACCTCTATGGCTATTAGGACAGCAGTCACTAGCTCTATTTCCATTACAAGTGTGAGCAGTTATGTCGATATTCTGCCTATTTCAAAAATATAAAAATTTTTCTCAATTGCTTTATTTCTATCAAATAAGAAATATAATTAAAATTGCACGTGAATACATTTAGTTCTCATTGCGCTCATCGTCGCTAACTAAATGTAAGGAATATTCGGTCTCCTCATCAATCCAAATATCCTGCAAAATTAACCTCCAGCTACCTTCCATCTTCTTCATCTTAGTAAAGCCCAGCTGCAGATCATGCGACTCCTATGAGGCAAAAAAAAAAAAAAAATGCTTCATTTGCAGTTTTTTGGATCAAAAAACCACCTCATCAAGGGATGGAAACGTTTTTATTGAAATACGTTTTTTTGCAATTGCAGTGTTTCCATGCACAAAATGTATTTTCATAATTACAATTTGTGCAATTCAGTGCTTAATAGAAGAGCAGCTACTGACCTGTGCCTCTATTCTGCTCTAGATTTGGGTCTTTTTTATGAACGATTATATTTGCTGTCGGGTAACAAGCTCTCCTCAAGCTTTTTCTTGCAGTCGAACTGTTCTTTAACGTCAGAGTTGCGATAAACAGAGAATAAGAACCTCTTCATTACTTGAAGCATCAGCCATCTTGCCTCACAGTCCACCACCAATTTAGATCAGA